TCGATACGCATTTATACTGAGTAGCAGAATCGGTATTTGCACTTTTCGTCAGAAAAGCGACTTTCAGCATTATAAATCATTTACCATATTTATTTAAGCCTCATAATAATTATTAGGGTCAATTATAGAATTATTTCCTAATTTATTTTAATTAATTAATTAATTTCCTTAATTAACGGTGCGAGTTCTTACACCTAGCGAACTTGCCCACATGGCAGTTTGAGAAATAACACTGTTGGAATGACATTTAGGTAAAAAAGATTGGGAACAGTGGCAAAATGGTCACTATTCCAAGTTTTCAGGTATCGTGTTTTTGTGAGTATCCCAAGTGGTCGAAGAGGAGTACTAAGCAATGCCGTAATAGCGTGGGTTGTTGACTACTCTTTCCCGTTTACTTTTTTACTTTTTTTAACAGAGGAGAGTCATATTTATAATTTTTTTTTACAAACTTAAAGCTACCGGTAAAACTTCGTTCAAGAGTGTTTTATCAATAAAAAATAATGTAATTTGTAAGAATTTATAATAAAAAGTTTGTAAATATAATTTTTCACTTTTTTATATATCTTAGGGGATGGATATACTTACCATCAAAAAAATTTACCACTCTTACAACTTATTTAATCACCATTGATTTTCGCTAATATAATAATTTATTGGAAATTAATAATTAATTAATAAGTGTGACCCAATAAATATTATCAATTTTCAATAAATTATAATCGTTAGATTGACAAAAATCAACGATAATTAAATTAGTTGTAAGAGTGGTAAATTATTTTGATTATAAGTGTATTCGTTCCCTATATTATATCTTATGGATTTATACTTCTCCTATAGCAGCAAAATAAGGTTTTTTCCTGCAACTGGAAACGACGACGTTTTGTCTTTAACCCTTTTTATTCTTTCTTTGTATATGCTTTTCGGCTTCCTTCATGTTTTCATATTACACTTGCAATTTTCACATACGAATCACGTTTGATTTCTCTTCCACGGAGTTGAAATCTTGCTCATGATAAATGGGTTTTCTTCCTTGAATACTCCGTTGAAGACCCTGCTGATTTTCCTTTTCTTAGGTGTTCTTGGCTTCGAAGTATCTTGGTGACTTGCCACATTTACCACCGTTTCGCTCCACCGTGCAACACCACCGTGAAGCACCAGCACCAGCACCACGCCCGATGTATGTGATGTGGATTCCATTCAGACACAGTTAAAGACAAGGTTAGGTGTCTCTTCCTTTTCCCTGTGTATGTAATATGAAAATATGAAGGAAGCCAAAAAGCATATACAAAGAAAGAAAGAGAAGAATAAAAGGGGTTTAAGGCAAAACGTCGTCGTTTCCAGTTGCAGGAAAAAACCTTATTTTGCTGCCACAAGAGAAGTATAAAGCCCTATATCTTAAGTTATTAACTTTGAAAAACTCATGCTTTTCCGTGGAGTTAGGAGAGATATAAGCTTTATTGTTTATCCATCCAATTATATCCATGTCCATTCCATTAAAGATTTAAATGAATAAGTGTTGGGTAAAAGATTTTTTCAGTTTCCGGAGAGCTCAGAACGATGTTATTTTGAGATAGAAATTAAGTTGTTTTTGTAATTTTAATATATTGTAGGATTATATTAGTCTTTATTATTATAATTTTTTAATCTTATAAATCCAAAACGATGTCGTTTTGAGTTCACTGAAGATAAAGTTATCTCCTATGACTAGAGAAATAATTTTTCCCTAAGTGTATTATTACAGGTTTCCTTTTCTTGTGTATATTCCAACTTAATTGTTAAACGTTTTATTTACTACTGAGTACTGATTATACTTAAAGGGAAATCTATGCTATTACACCTCAACCACATAAGATTTTTTGAGAAACATGTAAGTTTAAATTAAAAAAAATGAAAATTAAACTTAACAAGAACGACGTAAGGTCCATGATATCTTTATCTCTGACCAATGCTAATTGCTAAGTGAGTTAAAAAGTTACTTAACGTTTTAAAAATTTAACTTTCAATATGTCCTTTGCATGAAAAATACAACCCTAACATAAAAATGACACATTTAAATATCATAAGTTTATATACATAAATTATTTTTCTTATTTTATATATACATATTATATATGTTTTCAATCAGATGTAAAATAGCCTTAATCTTCTTTATCAGCTTATCAGTTTGACAATAATGATTGAGATATAATAATCATACAAATGACACTCAACTCCTAATATTTTTAAAAAATCACAAAAAGAAATTAAGAATATTTTTAAATATTTAGGGTTTGATGTATAATTTAAAATAATTCTCGTACATTTGTATAGAGTTCCAATGACCAAAAAGTTTAAGATTTTTGTTTATACATAAAATTTAAGAATTTTGTTTAAAATATCAATCAGTATATGAAATTCTAACAGATCGACTAATCCGATTTTGAATTTGAATTTCTCTACCCTCCCTAAGAGTTCTTACAACTCTCAGAAATTAACTTTTAGAAATTTTAGTATTAGATAAAGTGTGAGTTTATATGTCTCGTTCTAAATTAAACTTTAGCCTGTTAAATATATCATATATCATCGTTAACGTGCATTATAGTTGACTTTTTAGAATAGTTGGGTAATGATATTTTGTAATGAATCAATTAGTATCATATTTATTTATTTTTAGATGTTTTAATATTTAATTTACATGCATGCTCTTTTACTATGTTTGTATGCAAAAAAGAAACCATTTGATTTAAAATAAAAATAAAAATACACTTGACAGATTTCTTAAGATGTAATGTGTTCTACATCCATTTAACGGATCCCTTCAAGCGATATAACATGTGCCCAGCTCATTTGTAGGTAAAACCCTTTTATAAATACATGATTAAGCCTCATAGGAATGGATCTTTGGATCCTAATCCTTATTTTGTTGTTATTGTATACACATACTGATACCACTCATTCGATTCTCTACCTCTCATCGTGCAGAGTCATTTACTGCTACCTATGGTCGCCTTTCTCTATAGGCACGTAACAGCCCTCAGATCCAACGTCAACCTTTGATCCTTAGAGATCAAACATAATGCTTTATGATTAGAAATTTTGCAACACTCACAATAATTAATAATGAGTTGTTTATACAAAAAAAAAAAAAATGAGTTATCATCTTAATTTTATTGCAATCCATACATAATAAACGGGACATAAATTCATATAGAAAATATAAACTGCACCATCCTCAACTTAACAATTTAAGGTTCCTTAAAATTGTATAAATTAATAGCTTATAGCACAGCATCCCCATCCTCTGATCTGGAAGGTTATTTTATTTTTTATTTTATAAAAAATGTGGTACAACATCATAAGCAGGATGAGCCTTAGCCGGTGGTATCTTCTCTCTAATGCCAACCCAGTTAACACCATCAATTGTATTTATTCATACTTTCCTTGTAAGTAATTGTAAATCAACACCATGTGCTGTGTGCTCTTTGTAATATGCGTAACCTATCCTACACATTAATGCCAACTATACAAGTATCCAAAGTTCTCATAGATTGCCCATCGTAATAGGTCTATTTATCCTTAGAGTTAAGACTCAACCAACAAAAATAAACACACAAAAAATGTCTTCATAAAGAATAAAGTTATATAAGTAAAATTACATAACAAAATGTTTAATACATTTGCATACAATTCAGTAACTCTATAAATTTGATACCCTCTAAAAATTTGTTTATAGAACATTATCCTCCATTGAAATAGTTTATATAGAACAATATTGTAAATTTTACTAGAATGAAGCTCGATCAAAGGAACTAAGCTCGATCAAAGGAACTAACGCTTGATGAGGTTTATGCGTAAAGCAGCGGAGTAAAATTTTAATTGATGGCGATAATAATGGCGAACAGTTACAATTACTCTTTTCACACTATCTTTTCTAGGAAGCAAAGACGTTAAAGCAAACAATATTTGTGATTTGTATTTCGTTTTATGTACTAGTAAATAAAATGTGTAATGTAAGATTACTTTCAAATTTAATTAGTTAAAACTTAAAAATAAAAAATTAAATTATATATTTAATTTAAATCAATTTTATAAAAATTAAAAGAAAAATATATCATTTAATAAATTTAACTTAAAATTTAAAATAAGAAAAGTTAAGAATGCCGTATATATATATTATATTTAAATTGAGAATATACTAAAAGATTTACTACTTTTAAAACAGAATAAAAGACAAATCATTTAAAAATATCTAACATTTAATGCTAATAATATTTACATAGTTTTATTTATAAAAATTTGATACATGATTAAGCAAATAAATAGAAAATAAATAAAAATACGGTGTCTGAAGTAATCAAAACCGAAATTGGCTTAAAAATATTGAAATTTAAAATAAATAAATAATTGATTAAGTGAATTAAGTAAGTTTAAAAATATCTAAATAAATTTTATGTATAGCTAGTAAGTAAAAAATAAAGGAATCTATTTACCAAAAAAATAAAATTAAATAAAGGAATCTAAAATGAATTAAGAGTTCTAAACATAAAGAATAAATGTAAAATAAAATGTATGTATTTTTAAAAAAAAATTATGCATCTCATAAATAAAATATGTAAAAAAGTTATCTCACGCATCATAACATCATTATGAACAATCTTATTCGTAGAATTGGGACATGTTATTAAGCAAAGAAATAAAGAATAAACAGATATATTTAAAAATTATTCAAACAAATTTAATTTATAGCTACTAAGAAGGAAAAAAAGAAGTATAACAGAAAATACATATGTTTGATAAAGAAATATTTCACGCGTATAAATTAATACAAATAGAAAAGACATTTGAGATAAAGAGATATCTCACGCGTAATGACGTCATTAATCACGCCACATTTTCATATTACGAAATAGAAAATAAACCTTATGGTAATGGCTTTTATATTTATAATGTTTCACTCAGGTAACATCGCGTTAATATAAAGAGCATCAGAATCATTTTCAAGATCCCAATTTTAATTTCCGTGTCTCTTCTGAACGCTTTCTCTCTTTACTCTTTTCTTCAAACACCAACCACCCTTAACGTTTTTGATTCGGGGGTAACAATAATAATAGACGACACCAACAACAACATCAGAAACAAGAACAACAAAAGATGGTGGTGAAGATGATGAAGTGGAGGCCGTGGCCGCCTCTGGTTTCGAGGAAGTACGAGGTTAAACTTGTTGTGAGGAGTCTGCAGGGCTGCGATCTGGTGCGGGAGGGTGCAGATAAAGGTTCTCCCTTATTGGCTGTTGAGATTAGGTGGAAGGGTCCCAAACTCACCCTCTCGCTGCGCCGTAACGCCGTCGCCAGAAACTTCACAAGGGAGGTCCAGGCTGACCAAAACGGCGTCGTTTTGTGGGATGAAGAGTTTCAGAGCTTCTGCAATCTCTCTGCTTACAAGGACAATGTGTTTCACCCCTGGGAGATCGCTTTCACTGTCTTCAATGTCTCTCTCTCTCTCTCTCTCTCTCTCTCTCTTCTTCCATGTGGGTTCTGTGGAATTTGTTTGAAGAATGTTGTAATCTGTGAAAAATGAAAACTTTAATTTGGGTGTAGTTTTATCTTTTCAAGTATTTCATGGGTTTGGGCCGAATCTCTCATCCGTTGAAATTGATGGATTTTTATGTTTTTCTGTGTATTTGCAAATTTTGGATTTTTATTTTATTTTATTAAAGTTGTATTGGTTAATTGGTAAAGGGGGTTTTGTAATTAATAATTATTATTTGTCTGAATTGGATTTGAATTGGCTCTCTGTTTTCAGGGGTTGAATCAAAGGCCAAAGACCAAGGTTCCTGTGGTAGGAACTGCATCCTTGAATCTAGCTGAATTTGCATCTGCAGTTGATCAAAAGGACTTTGATTTAAACATTCCACTCACTCTCCATGGCGGTTCCGTTGAGCCTTCTCCTTCACTCAGTGTAAGTCCATCCACAATTTTTCACTTTTTGTTCTATTTTTTCATTCTACTATGTTTGGATATAAGCTGGTTAACATTTATTGACACAGTTATAGTTATTATTTTTTTAATTCAACATTAGCACTTGCAATTTCAATTTTTGTTTTTGTACTTATCATCATAAAACCTATTGATTGTGTGTAGATATCAATTAGCTTAGTTGAGCTAAGAGCAACTCAAGAGAGTACAGAGTTAGTTCACAAATCAATAGTGCCTGTCTCATCACCTCCACCCCAGTCAGGAGAAAATTCCTTGGCAGAAAAAGATGAGCTTTCCACCATCAAAGCTGGTCTTAGGAAAGTAAAGATTTTGACTGAGTTTGTATCATCTAGGAAAGCAAAGAAAGCATGCCGCGATGAAGAGGGTAGTGAAGGCAATCTCTCTGCCAAGAGTGAGGATGGTGAGTACAATTACCCTCTTGACTCAGACTCGCTTGATGATTTTGAGGAGGAAGGAGAATCTGATGAGGTGAAGGAGAATTCCAGTGTAAGGAAGTCATTCAGTTATGGGAAACTGGCCTATGCAAATGCTGGGGGATCATTTTATTCTGGCGTGAGGGTAAATAGTGATGATGAAGACTGGGTTTACTATAGCAATCACAAATCAGATGTTGGGAGTTTGCAGATGGAGGATTCAACTGTGTCAGCCTCTGAGCCTTATTTATTGCAAAGTTCAAGGCGCAGCATATTGCCTTGGAGGAAGAGGAAGTTGAGTTTCAGATCTCCTAAATCTAAGGGAGAGCCATTGTTAAAGAAGGCTTATGGAGAAGAAGGTGGTGATGACATTGATTTTGATCGGCGGCAGCTTAGCTCTGATGAATCCATTTCACTTGGGGTAAGAACTTGTTCTTTTTAATTGCTTTCATGATCTAAATGTTAATGGCACAAAAGAATAGGTTGGTGGGTATCATGAAAATTGATACTAAGGTCTTTGTGATTAATACCTGGTGACTAGTGAACTATTGATCTGACATTTGTTGTAAGCTATATATTTATAAGGGATTAGTGACAGGCTCACAGTAACTTCTGAACCTTTCTGTAACTTTTGTTGCACTTGCACACTGTTGTTAATTAGCTTATTAGTACTGATGTCTAACACTGTATGCCAGACACACAAGACCGAGGATGATTCATGTGCAAATCGATCCTCAGTATCTGAATTTGGAGATGACAATTTTGCCATAGGGAGTTGGGAGCAGAAAGAGGTACTGAGTCGTGATGGCCACATGAAACTTCAAACACAGGTCTTCTTTGCCTCAATTGATCAGCGCAGTGAACGCGCAGCAGGTGAGAGTGCATGTACAGCTCTTGTTGCTGTAATTGCAGACTGGTTCCAAAACAATCAGGATCTTATGCCCATAAAGTCCCAGTTTGATAGTCTAATTCGGGAAGGCTCATTAGAATGGAGGAGCTTATGTGAACACCAGACATATAGGGAGCGATTCCCTGACAAGCATTTTGATCTTGAAACAGTCATTCAAGCCAAAATACGCCCCCTTTCTGTTGTTTCTCAGAAGTCCTTCATTGGTTTTTTTCATCCTGAAGGAATGGATATGGATGAGGGGAGATTTGATTTTCTGCATGGAGCCATGTCTTTTGATAACATTTGGGATGAGATTAGTCATATTGGACAGGAGTGCACTAATAATGGTGAACCCCAGGTTTATATTATTAGTTGGAATGACCATTTCTTCATCCTCAAAGTTGAAGCTGATTCTTACTGCATCATTGACACTTTGGGGGAGAGGCTTTATGAAGGATGCAATCAGGCATATATCTTGAAATTCGACAGCAGCACGGTGATATACAAGATGCAAGATGTTAATCAACCATCAGACGAAAAAACAACCAGTGACCTGCAAACTGTTGCAGAAGTATTAGACCAGAATGAGAGGCAGATCCAGCAAATCAATGGTAAGGAGGTGGATTCTGTTGTTGTGGAGACAGAAAAACAGTTGAAGAATGATCAGGAAGTGGAGGTTGTGTGCAGAGGGAAGGAAGCTTGCAAAGAGTATATTAAGAGCTTCTTGGCAGCAATCCCTATTAGAGAATTGCAAGCAGATGTGAAGAAAGGTATATCATCGACTCCACTTCATCATAGACTACAAATTGAGTTTCACTACACACAGTTGTTACAGTCCTATGTTGTAGCTCCATTGGCTGAAGCATCCTTGACTGGACCAGATACTCTTGCTCTTGCAGTAACTGAGATTTCCACATAATCCTTGTGTAAATTAAGGAAAGTTCTGTTACTCTAACTAGTCTTTGCTACTTAAGGGTGATTTCTGATTTCAAGTGAAATTAACAAAAGGAGGCTAATTTAAGCTTTTGATGCCTACATGAGTGAGCTGAGCTTGTGTCTTTGTATTTTGGCTTGCCTTGTGTTGCCAAATCTTTCTAGGGAAGGGTAGCTTGTAAATGACTCTGTAATTTCCTTTTCATGCAAGCTCAAACTTTTGGCACTTAACATGTAATTCGCTAAAGACTTGTGAATTGGCTTTATAACTTTTTGGCAGATTCTTACAATTTACATGTGTTTTGCTCTCTTAGATATTGAAATATTTTATTTTATACAATTTATAGTTTACAAAAGATTAAACTCAAATTTTATTTCATTTCACTTTTGTTATTGCTTGAGATAAATGCAAGTGGCTAAAAAGCAAGTAAAATGCAATTTTCTCCCTACTGTACTCTTCCGATTCTGTTTTTGGTAATGAAATTCTAGTTGAAAGATTTGATGCTTTTATTGCCCAAATGCAAGAAAAACTAAGAAAGTACAATCTAATATTCTTCTCTGACGCTTTTGATTGTTAAAAAAAAGAAAGAGAACTGAAATTCGAAAGATATATGCATATTATTCATTTTATTATTGTTTATTACTCTCTAATATTATTTTATTGCTAGGAGGAGGTTTTCCACTCTCAAAGAAATAATAACATATTATGAGAAAAAGTTTGTTTGACTGAGGTTCTCTCATCTTTTTTACCGATTGAGATGCTGCATACTTGAGTTTTATATTTGACCAATGACTTCCACGAACCTCTCCATAATAAATATGGATTCTTCCCGCAATCACTTTTGTGCAAAAGTAGTTTTAATTTGTTTATGGGAAATATTACTCTCCTTTTACATAAGATATCTTCTCTCATGTTCTCTCACTTCGATTTTCGCATCTCACATTTTTCTTTTTTTTTCTTGTTTCTTGTAATGGTGGGACCCATTTATTTTTTCTCTACAAAATAAGATAACTATCTTATGTGAAAGGAAACTAATAAAGCCCTTTGTTTATAGGAGATAAATCTCCTATACACACATAAAAATATGTAGAGTTCATTTTTTTTTATTGGGCCACACACACTTTTATGTTGATACACGCAATAAATTTATCTTTTGCAACATGAGAAACAATAAACCATTTTCAAAATATAAAAAAAAAGGTTTATTGTGGGAGATAAATTTATCTCCGATACACACATAAAAATATGCGTAGTCCATATTTTTCTTTTCTCTCTCCTCCTCACATGGGCATACATGGGCCACACAATTTTATGTGTATGTAAGAAATAAATCTATCTTTGTAACATGAGAACCAATATTTTTTTTTTTTTTGATACAAACAATAAACTCTTTTCAAAATATAAAAAAAGTACTTCAAAAGATAAGTTGTTTTATTGGGCTGATATGTATTAAGGCCCAAATGTCATCCCCAACTATTTCTTTGTTTGGAAAATATTCCCTAGTATCTTTGAGAATAACATCTTCCAGGTTGCTACAACTTTGCTTCTTAATAATAGAGAATTTCAAATCTTAATGGAACCCTCTTTCCCCTTTTTCCTATTTCTATTTAAAATTAAAAAGTTTACAAACCTTAATAATTTAAAAACAAACTTGAGCAACTTTTACAAGAAAAAAAAAAAAGGAAGGATGAAATCTGCCATATACTTTCTTCGAAGTGATGTTAAAAGCAAAACACATTGCTTATTGATCCACACTCTGTCCCAAAATATGAAAACATAAAATCAAAATAAGTATCAAATATTGTATCATATCACATGCTTGTTCCCAAATGCTATTCCTCATCAACAAGGAAGCACGGACACTTGTAAAAACAGGAAGAGTCGGGTCCGATACGCTCCGACACGGCGACACGCTCCGACACGGTGTCGGACACGCGGTTGACTTTTTCCGACACGTTGACCATTCCGACATGTGAATTTGACCGTGTCCGACACGGTCAAAATGGCATTTTCGTAATTTTTTTAAAAAAAAAATTTTAAAATTGTTTTTTAATTTTTTTTCAATTTTTTTAAAAGTTAAAATATATTAATAAAGCTTCCACATGATCATATCAATTTTATCTTTTTGTCTTTTTCCCCTTAAGTAGATAAGAGATCATCTCAGCATCATTGTTGTCAATTCCTATCACGCTCTTGTTGTATCTTCTTCTCTCTGATCTCTCTATCTGATATTATATATCTCTCTCATCCCAGTTCTTATTTTTTTTATTAAAGCTTCCATCTTTATATCGTGTTGATGGGTATTATTAATTTAGTTTCATTTTTTTATTAAATTATTAAATATTAAATGAAATATACACTATATAAATTAAAAATATTATTTAATATTAAAACGTGTCCCAACGTGTCGAAATCCATAATTTTTTAGGATTGACGTGTCGGAGTGTCGTGTCGTGTCGTGTCACGTGTCGCGTGTCGTATCGGTGCTACATAGCTCATCAAGAACCAATTTCTCAGTCATTTTACTTATTCTTTACCATTTCCCCACTCGAATTTGTCCCATTACATCATTCTATATAACTTTTATTTGAGTTTTCAACTACCTTAACTCAAGTGCATACCCGCTAATTCTTGAAGGCATTATTTGATTTCAAAATGAAACTCGGTCAAATTATTTTACGTTACAAGTTCCTTGTCACCCTCCTTTCTTTAGGTCATAAACTTCCTTTACAACAAGGGTTTAGTGTGTGTCATTTAAAAGGACACAAGTTGTTGTGTCCTTTTAGTGACTTACATAGAGTATGACCGTCATATTCTATGTAATTATGAAAAGTTATTTTTTTTCACATTACTCGTCAGCAATGTGACTAAGGAGAGAAAAAAAAAATAACTTTTCAGATTTACACAAAGTATGTCCGGTCATACTTTGTATAAATCATCTAAAAAAACATAATTTGTGTCCTTTTAAATATAGTTAGGCGTGTGAAATCTAAGTATCCAAACTCTAAGTACCCTACCTACCTCGACCAATATGCAATTTGAGAAACACAAGTCTTTTTGGTGCGCAAATGTTTCCTTGATTTTAATCTCCTTTAACTTGGAAGGGCGAAGGTTGGGTTATTACTTAGTATTGACACTATATATGTTATATTCGGCTAAATAGGGGTATGAATAAATTGCATTTGACTCTGATACGAACAAATCTTGGGTGATACAGGGAGTACTTCTTTAAAACAATGAGAAAATTCTTATTCCATTTAAACAACATCTTCATCTTTATTTTTTTTTTTCCAAATCCCAACTTTTTATTCTTTTTAGGGATTTTTTTTATCAACGGAAGCACTGAATTCGATATTTTTATTTAAAGTGGGAAATTTTTTATCTCATATAAACAAATATTTTTGCATTTATTTTTCTCTAAATCTCAATTTTTTTACCCTTTTATAAGAGATTTACTTACTACAAGACCACCCAAAATTTGTTCCCTTTTTAGAAGGGATCCGAGATTTGTTCCTGATCCGAGATTTGTTCGTTTGGTAGAGGAGAAATTTTTTTTTATCCGAAAATCTCAATTTTTAAAAATATAATTTTTACATTCAATTTACGATAATATCTGAAATTAAAAATTTAAAAAAATTTAATTTTTCAAAAATGCTCAAAAATTCCGCGTACCAAACGGTACTCTTTTATGATATGTTGTAGGTTTCCCAAACTATTGCATGACAGCAGGCATCCATTATTGTTCTAATTATTTATTAGGTAAATACTTTGAGAAAGGCCTTACATGTAATTTAATTTTATTGAATGAAATTTTATGTGAGTGTAATTGAATAGATTGGGTTGTCACGCAATCAATTTCTGAAAGTTTAATCGGTTAATTGGACAGAAACGAATAATTTTATATTTATTTTTAATATGGGTTCACTCTCTATCCATACAATCTAATTTCACATAATAACAAAAATAATATTAAAAAGTATATTATCAAAAATATGTTACTAGTACTTCTTAAATATATTTTATCTTCCTTAAACCTAATTATTTCTAGCTCACGCATGTTTAGTGGATAAAATAGGATAAAAATGAAAAAAAAATAGGTTTGATAAGTTCATACCCTATCACATTTTCTATCTACACTAGATAAATAATCAGTTCTTTCTTGTATGAATATAATATAAATAAGTTTAGTGTTTGTCATTTTAAATGACACAACTTTGTGTCATTTTTAATGAAACTACGTCGTTTTGGAGTGTTTTGTCATTTTCTCTAATTTATAAAATTAGAAATAAAAAGAAAATGGAGGAGAGAGAATGTAAAAACTTACCAAAACGACATAGTTTCATTAAAAATGACATAACTTTGTGTCATTTAAAATGACAGACATTTTTCCCTAAATAGATAAAAATATTCTTTATAACATGATTTCATTTTTTTGAAAAATTAATTTTTAAACTCTTTTGTTTTGATTTATTTGTAGATTAGTTCTTATTTAATTTTTTTTAAAATAAAAGTCAAAATTTTAAATAAAAAATATATAAAATAACTTATAATTTTTTCCAAAATAAAAGAATTATATCTTTATTACGTACTTACCTTTGAAAATTGTTTGTTTCTAGCAAATTTAACCAAATTAAGGAAAGAGATAAAATTACTTGAGATTTACTTTTATAGCTACACAAATGATATAACAATTTATTTTTCACCAAAATATACAGTTAAGTTTCATTTCTTTTTAACTTAAATTGATGATAAAGATAAACCAGATCATTTTGCATGTGTTAATTCTTTGTCTGCATATTAATGCAATAATTACTTATAATTAAGTCTGAATATTTGGGTTCAATTCTTAGTTTTTATTTAAATATTCCAATCGATTTATCGTTTCGTGACTAATTCGATTCGATATAGGTTTCGAGATTAGGACTTTAAACCTCTCCCAAATATGATAACGAGAAAGATCAATTCTTAGTTTTTTCTCCATAATCCACTTTTTAATGAAGTTGGTGGTTTTCACACGCTCCCCTAGTCTATACTTTTTATAATTAAAAAAGAGAAATATAAGAATTATGTTGCAGAAAGAAAAATCTGGTTATGTTACACATTATAACTATATACTATGGGCAATACGTAGTTATAATCATTGTTGTCAAAAACTAGTGTAAAAACTTACGTTTTTACGTTTTTACTAGAGTGGTGTGTTAAAACTCAAATAAAAACGGTCCTTGGTAAAAACTGGTAGAAACGCCGTGTAAAAACGTAAAAACAGTAAAAAC